TCGCCTTGTCTCAACATGCGGCCGCCGTGTCGCGTCCTACTTTCTTTGTCTTTGAATCCGGGGAACACCACGCACAATCGGACGGCCGGTATTCTGCTACTGTTTGACGAAGCTGAGAAGGAGTCTTCAAGATGACATGCGATGCTAGCCAGATACGTAAATATCTATTCGAAATAGCCAAACACTCGCCACATACCAGGGCCTTGGCTGACTGGTATGCAACTCCTGTAGCCAGTTTCTTACAGAGAGAGAGAGAGAGAGAGAGAGATCGAGAGAGATCATTGTGGCCTGAAGCTCAGCAGCTGAAATTACACCCAAATGTTATGATATTGACACGGGCGAGGTTCAAATTAAGACCCCTCCTTTCAGGGATCCATTTGAAAGGCGGGCAAGCACGAACCAGAGTCGCGAGTCTTGGTGTGAGGTTTCGAGACCTCAGACCAAACGGTCCCTGTTTTTTTTGGAGAGTGGTGCCTCTTGGGAAGAAACCACTTCAAGCAGCCTGCAAAACCCACCCTCCCCGGGGTAATTAGCTTTCTGTTATTCTTTATTTTTTGTTTTGGGGGGGGGGGCCTTGGGTAGCTTCTCGCCCGCGAAGCCGCAGGCCAATATGACAGCAGTGCCTTCACTAGCGGCCTGCAGGACCAGAGTTGTGGGCTCTCTCCAGAGGCGTTTCGCGTACAAAGGATTGCCTTTTGAATTCCAGGTTACTCCTCTGCAAAGGAGTTTCCTCTACAAATGGTTTCATTTTTGGGTTTCATGTTAATTTGCAGAGGAGGAATCTGCAGGGGAGCATAAAACCAGGCTTGTATATTCGGCATCCGCAGTGAGTGATGTTACTGGGGAAGGCAAATGCTTTGGCTGTGTGGGATTCTGCTGTCACCAGGCGTCACATCTAAGGTCTCTAAAGTGGCTCGAGACACGTCAGTTGGTTGGAGTTGAACTGATATGTATGTTGTGCCCTTTGCAAAGCAGCGCTCAAATTTTGCAGTTGGACACGTTGCACTTGAATGCAAGAACCGCATGGTTTGTTCGGCAAGGTTGGTTTTTCATCCAGACAAGTTTTGGAATTTTCGGGGTGACTGGACGTTTCAGTAGCAACAGGGCCCACCCCGGAGGTGTCAGAACCCTTCTCCAAAACCGCTAGGGTCCCTTTTGAGTCTGCACCTGGCCTTTGGCTTTGTCCCTTAGTGGGGGGAGCTGCTTCAGCAGTTACTACATGGCCGATGGTAGTTTTTGTTCATGTCCCTGCCAGAAACCAAAAGCGGACGGACAATTCTTGAGCTTTCCCAGACCCCATACTTAGACATAGGGGGACTTTAAAAAGCTTGAAGTTTTACCTGTCCAGAAGAAACCAACCTGAAAAGGGCACCAAAAGCACACCCATTTGTCACGCCGAGTACACGCAGCTGGATTCTGGGCTGCTGGATACCTGGACCGTGGAGAGTCGAACAGCCCGGGACATAGCTGGGCTCGAGACGGCCATGGGCTGGGAGAGGGGTCTTTTGGTCTCCCCAAAAACCCAGGAAACACCCAAACGGGGGGAAGAAGGTTGCCACTTGGAAAGTGCCGGGGAATTCTATTATTGAAAAGATAGCCATAAAGATAGGAGTCCCATTTCGGGTCTCAAAAGGCTTGCCCTCCTCTTCAAACTCCGGAGGGCCGAAGGAGCTTCCCCATGGCCCGAGGGGATTCGATGAGCTCGGGAACTTTCCTCGATGTTTTCAGGGTCTACTTGCCATGAACCCAAGAGAATTTACAGCAAAGGAACGCGTCTGGCGAATTGTTTAGGGAAGGAACTCGTTTGGCTTTTGGCCAGCCGACGGTTTCCCCACAGTCAGCCAGCAAGTTAAGCTTTTTGAAGGAGGGCAAAGATTGAACCAGGCAACCTGCCTGTCATTTCCCTCGTTCACCGCGTTCATTTCGCGTGTGTGGCATGATGCTCCACTTGCCGAGGACTTTCTCACGGCCTATGCGCAGATGCCGGCAGAGGTCAAGGCAGGGTGTCAACCCATGAGGTGAACTTCGCCGAATGAAGCACACTTTGGAACGTAAAAAGCATAGCATCTTGAAACCGGGTCCCAACAGAAACGAGATGTGTTCTTCTTCACTAGGCCATGTGCTGATTTGTTTTGGTGTATTCTGATGTGTGTGTGTGTCCCCTCATAGACCATGAAGAAGGGTTTGCTGTAGCGGCAGATCTCTTGGGCCCGCTACCAACGAGGATGCCCTTTTGCTTTGGTGATATACAAGCTTGGCCAGCTTGCATGTACCTGCAAACGTGCGTTTTTCAGCCCGGGTACGTAAGTTCTCGGCTTGAATCGAGAGCGTCGTGTGCTTGAGCACCCCTCCAAGGCGTGTCCGCTTGGGCTTCTGTCAAGGTGCCACGCGAGCCAGGACATTGTCCGTCCTCCCTCAAGAAGCGAATTCAGTCGTTGGAGCTTCAAGATCTCTCGGGGTGTGTATGCTTCGGCTCAATTCCCGTTTAGGCCGCTTGTTCAGACTTGGCGTGCAAGGCAGCTTGCAAGGTACCTCAGGCTCCACTGCGTACTTCCTTCCTTGCATCCTTTCTTGCAAGCAGTAGCGTGCGCGTGCCACGTTCCGCATGCGTGAGGCCCATTGAGAGTCGTGTGACGCCATTGTTCGAGTGTTAGTTTCAAGGCGCAGTGTTGTAGCTTTCTGGCCTCTTGCGCTCGTGGGCTTGCTTCCGTGGCTACATCTGGCGCTCGTCACACGGAAGACTGGCCTGGTTGCGGCGATGAGCCAGCCTTTGGTCTTCCACCGGTTCAACTACGAGGCATCAACTGCCGCCGGCAGGGGCATCAACCTGCCGCCGGCAGGGGCGCACTGTGGCCCACATCACGCTACTGCTGCTACCGTGCTACCTGGTCAACGCGGCGGAGAGCCCGCCAGATCCACTGCCAGTCGAGGAGACTGCTACACCCCGATCCCTTGACGAGCGCGTTTCCCCTGCCATTGTTTCAAGCTCCTTTGCCGCCGCGTTTTGTGCGGGTTGGGTGTGCGACGGGGTGACATCTTTTTGTGTCATATCAAGAGTGCGCAAGTGCAGGTTTCTGGCTTTGAAGACCGGGGCCACAGCTTCTATGGAAAGTCGTCGATCCAAGAGACCCAACGCCGTAGCCAAATCCGATGCCTGGTTCCACAACAACCTCGCTACCAGCTACCGTCAGACAAGTTCTGCGGTGTCTATGTTGCCTGACCGTTTTTGTGGTGACATCCTTTGTGTGTGCGTGTGTGTTGTGTTGTGTTGTGTTGTGTTGTGTTGTGCTGTGTTGTGTTGTTTTCTGTTGTGTGGTGCTGTGCTGTGCTGTGTAGTGTGGTGTGGTGTGGTTTGGTGTGCGCGTGTGTCTTTATCTTTATCTTTGTCTCTGTCTTTAGTCTTTGTGTTTGTGTTTGTGTTTGTGTGTGTGTGCGCGTGTTTGTTTGTTTGTTTGTTTGTTTGTTTGTTTGTTTGTTTGTTTGTGTTTGTTTGTGTTTGTTTGTTTTTGTTTGTTTGTTTGGTTTGTTTGGTTTGTTTGGTTTGTTTGGTTTGTTTGGTTTGTTTGGTTTGTTTGTTTGTTTGGTTTGTTTGTTATGTTTTGTGCTTTGCATAAAGCCCAGTGGCAAACATGTGAACACATACTCATTTCGGGTTTGGGTTGTTGAAGGTAAACCACGAGGAACCACCCATTCTGGTTTCAACGTGGTTTTGAACCGAACTTTTAGACTGTTTAAAGGACCAAATTGGAGTTAAGGAACCCCCCCCCCCTTTCCCACTTTTGGGAGACCCCGACATTGAGCCCCCCCCCCCATGTGGCTTCTACCGGCCAGACCTCGCTTGCACAGCCCTGGAGCACCCGCTGCGCCACTTCCAGCCAGGATGGATGGGGGTAAACCACCCTATGGGAAGCACTTGGTTGAAACCCTTACATCATGCCAGGTGTGTGTGCGCGTGTATGAGTGTTTTTTGTTTGAGGATACCCCTTTACCTTGGATTGCGAGCCGCAGTAACACCGCCGTTTTTGGTGTCCACCTTACTTTGACACATACCTGGAGTTTAAACAACACGCACCATTCCGATCGTCAAACATGTAGGGGTTGTTCGGACCAAAGGAGATTAAAACATAAAGTATTAGCCTTGAGCCCGGCCAGGGCATAAAAGCCGTAAAGGTTTCAGAACATCTTTCAGGTCGATAAACCAGGTGAACATTTTGAGGGGCTTCCAGCATTATGCTGGTAGCTGCCATTTCGAGGGTACTTTGAAGAGTGCCGGGCTTTAGGCCATTGGGGTTAAAAGCTTAGGTCGTGACAACCGTGGGTTTAAAATGCAGCTTGCACACCCTTGGGATCTCCTTCAGCCGGGTTTCGCTGATACCAACTTCCCCTGGTAGCGTGGATCACGAGAAGTCATTTGGTGCTTTGCTGGGCTTTAACAGTTCCCCGGGGTCCCAAATTTGTATGAGTAGAAAGGGACATGCTGTTTTCTTTTCTGGAACAGTTGCAGACTAAACAAGGGTTCCTTCATTTGTTTTGCTGGCTTTGTCTCTTTGTTGGGGTGGTGCTTAAACGGGAAAGATAAGGAACTCAATCGTGTTGAAAGCCAAGGTGAATCCAGCCAATTGCCTGGCAACTCGTTTCTTTTGGTCCAAACATGGCCTCGGTTGCTCGTGTGCGAGTTGTTCTTTCTCTCTCTTTTAAACCACTCGGCCGCAAAGAGGTTTTTGATGAGTGTTTGACATGAGATCAACAGAAGTTTCCACAGGGCCCAGCACCACACACGCGGTCCCATGGATCAATCTCGGATGTCGAGGAAGAGGTTTCAGCCACAGGGAAGGGGCAAGGGGTAGGGCCACCCGCCCTGGGCCCTTGAGGGCTGTGGTTTGGGGCTGGAAACCATCGGGGAGGGTTCTGATTGGCACCTTTGTGGGCCTCGTCACATGCCTTTGAGCCAACCGGCTCTTTTTCAGACCTTTCCATGTCGGTTGCGGTTTGGACAAGCCATGGGCGCGTGTCAAACCTAGGCACCCCTCCCAATTTTCCGGTTTCCCTTTGGTTCCGAGCCGTGGCTCCAAAAACGATCCCCGTTGGTTCGGACCGCGTTTCGGCCTGGTGCTGCGCCGGTCTGCCAGGACTTGATGGGGGTTTCGTTGATAGAGGCGGGCATCAGCGGGCTGAGCCACTACCGCGCCGGGGCCTCGGAGCCCTCGATGAGCCAAAATGGAAGTGGGCAGGAAGGTGGAAGGTGCCGCGCTCGGTGCTTTTTGTGGGCATGGTGTAGAACTTGGGGACCTTCTGTTTGAGTTTGAGGCGGCGAGATGAGGGCGTGTCTTCATGCAGCTTGCTCTTTTGGGTTGAAAGGAACTCAACATTTCAAGACACAGCCATGAATAGGGTGTTCACTACGTACAGGGTGTTAGTTTTCATTGCACCTACCACTTGACGTGTAATTCTGTTGAACCCATCCCTTGAACGGAGCACTTGGTTCCGTTCGTGAGCCTTTGGGTTTCGCCAAGCCGAGGTCTCTTGCCCCTTGGACCTGCGACTCACCGAGATTCAGGCGACGGCGGCGGACGCTGAAAGGGGCTGACGACGGGGGTTGGGGGTGGTGGGGGTGGGGGGTGGGGGGGGTACATGGGGCAATGAAAACTGGGGTACGGGGGTGGGGGTTGGGACCAAACGAGGGGCACATTTGGTTTTTGGCAAGCATGGACTGGGGCCATATATATTTTGTGTATCAACCGCAAGGATGCTGCATGAGGTTGTTCGCATACATGGGACCGAAGACATGTCGCACTCAAGCACTGCTTTTTGTTTTTCCCGATGGGGATGGACCGGAAATGGGCAATTGGGCCATAATTGGGGATTGTGTTTTGCTCCCAACCAGAGGCAAAATCAAAAGCCGGGTAGGGTATCAGCGGGTAGTCGCCTTGCCATAGGTGCGGAGTTCTCTTTTGAAAGGAAATGCCATGTTCGATTTTCCCAGGGCAAACGTTGGTCGTGAGCTTTCTTTGAGCGAATGGACCGTGGACTCAGCTTCGAGACGGTGCTCTCCAGGCGTTCGCCCCGAAGCTGATGTCTGCCGGCAGGGAGTCTCAGAGTGGGCCAGGCGTTTGACTCGCATGCATACTCGCACACGTCAAGACCAGAGGAGTCACAGGTAGGTTCCCCTATTCAAGGTCCACTCTGAAAAAGACAAAGCAAGGGGACCCCTTTGGAGAAACACACACACACACACACACATTGCAAGTGAGCAGACCAAACGCCCAAAAGACAACCAGGGTGAAGACGTTTCACCCTTGGGCAAGAGCCAGGATAGTTCTTGCTACTTAGCTGCTACCTAGCTGTCAAAACTCTAAATCTATATTTGTTGGATGCCCCACTTGTGGATTTCCCCGTTGAGAGTGTTAAGCAAGAGTTGACAGAGTGCAACTTGGACAAATCACAGCTCGGATGCCACATGACGTTGACATTTGTTTGGATGTCATGTGTCCCAGCAAGGGCTCCTAGTTTTGAGACACATACACACAAGTCTCACCTAGGAGCATCTGCTACCCGCAAAGGTTCCCCAAAGGCCGAGCTTTGCTCCTGGATGAGCCGGTAGCTTCGCTTGAAAGCAAGGGAAGGTGTAAGCAGCAATCGGACTTGCAGGTTTTTGACATCTCCGCCAGTGCTTTGTCTCGTGCTTGAATAGTTGGTCGAGCCCCGAGCGCTGGCTCAAGACGACTCTCTGACTCCCCAACTGTCAGTGTGCCAAACGGCCTATAAGCCTTGAATCTCTCCTCAAGGTAGCCAAAAGGAATTGATCATTGGTCATTTTATCAGACCGCCTATTTGGCACCTAGTTGTCGCACAACATGTAGGGGGAAAAGGACAACGCCAGCTATATGACTGGGGGGTCAGTGGCCTCTTAGTGGCGCATTGAACCATTTCCAAGACTGGGAATCTTGAGCAATTTCCGGTAGGCATTCAGCCAACAACAACTTGAGCGTGGCAAGTCATCCGACGGTCGGAAGGTGCACTTAGGTGTGTCTTTTTTGAGGGTACCTTTCCTTGGGGGTTTTAGAGGAAACCGGAAAAAACACTTCTTCTTTTTTTGAGGGGGGAGGAGGGTCCCCCCAAAAATCACATCCCCACTTGTCGCCAAGGCCAGTCCCACTACATCACTTTCTACTTTGACATGCGGCCTTTCAACCGCAATACCGCGTTGCCGGGAGCCTAAGGGCCTCAGGGATTCAGGCCCTTCGAGTCTTCCAAGCCGGTTGACCACAAGTGCGCAGTGTGTGTACTGTGGGTGTCTCTGGCCGTCTCAGTTTTTGTCTACGATTTGCGGATGCGTTGCTTTGTTTATGGTCGAATGGAAGAAGAACTCAAAGCAAGCCAGCGACTTTAGGGTGTATCACAGGGCACACCCGTAGACTGGCAGATCGTTACCTGGGCCAAGGGGCCGCGTTGGCTTGCTTGCGTCCCACATGTCTGGTGCCCTTTGCGAGCTTGTCTGAAATGAACATCAGGAGGACACCACCCATTTTGGGAGGCGGCTTCCCCGAAAGTATTTGCAAAGCAAACACGTGTTCCTCGATTTACACACATCCCTACCCCCCCCCCATATCTTTGCGTATCTGTACAAATATACATACATGCTCACGGACAGTTTCCAGATTGATACACGTGTTTGACCCGTTTCTCTTTGGGATCTCTCAGGTTCGGGCTCAGCAACACCATCTTCGTGATGATTTTGCTGGTCACCGCCTCGTTGATGTTCACCAACGACGCCAACCGCCTGGTGCTGCGCCCCGCGCGGGCGCCCAGTGCGCTTTGCGTTTTCAGGAAGGTTCGCCGGGGGTTTGGGTTGAGTGGGAAAGGAGTAGTTCCAAGATACTTCTTCGGGTTTTTTAGGTGTTGGAAGTGAGCCTTTTGATGCGGGAAGAATTGGCGCCAATTCTTTTTGCTTGGTGGATTTGCCGCAAAGGGGTGTACTGGGCGATTGGGAAACAGCTGTGCCACGGTCAACATGCCTTCGTTGCTCGGGGCTGGTAGGGATGTTTATCGGCTCTACAATACGGAATTTAGTTGCCATTTAGAAAGGGCATGCAAGGAGTTTTGACGATTGATGATTGCTCGTTTAGGCGTTTCCTACCAAATTAGTTACCTCATTCAATAGTCGGCTTCCTTTTGGTTTTCCTGTATAAACACCGCGTACAATTCAAGGGTATTAAGTATGTGGACCCTTGTATACACCATATGCAGCTTGGTGACCCCAGCTTGAATGGGTGACGTGCTTGGGGCAGCAGCTTCCCCGTAACAGGTAGCAATTACCCCGCAAGTGAGGATATACCCCTTGCGTGACATGACAGATCAAACATAGGCCTCACTGGTCCTTTGGGACCTGCTGCCACCAACCATAAAAGGACGGCCGTGAGGGATCAACGCATTGGCGAAAAGGGCCGCGCCCGTGAGTCCCTCTCCTTCGCGCTTGAAGTCTGGAGTCGGTAGGATTCCTTGGGAGGTGTCCTTGTGCTCTCAGCGGCATCAACGTTCAAGTCGATATAGTACGTCACAACTCAAATGGCTATGAATTTTTAACGGGGAACCGCCTGAAAAGTGATTGGAGGACATAAATCCCCACCTAAATGATAAAGGATCCCTACTTAAAATTCATACCCCTACTACGATGTCACAACCCCAAAGTCAAAAAACACCATCAAGGTGGAGAAGATGATCAGCCGCATCGAGGCGCGCCGAGAAGCCGAGAAGGACGTCAGGGTGTCCCCCAAGCAAATCGTTCATACCCAAAGAAGCCATATCCTTCCTCCCACTAACATAGCATTTGTGGGAGGGTACCTGGAAGATCAATTTCCTCTTCAGGGGACCTCCCGTCAGGTGCCATGTTAGTGGGAGGGAGGGTAATCGTTAGGTTGCCGTCACGTCGTTGCCCTTTTTATTAAGATCCACAAGCCAAAAGATACAATGAGGTTGAGACAATCAAGTGGGTGGGGTAGGGCAAAGCAGGGTAAGGTGGGGTGGGGTAGGGTGAGGTGGGGTAAGGTTAAGTGGGGTGGGGTGGGGTGGGGTGGGGTTGGCAAAACAGGGTCCAAATGTGGGTGGACAGTATGGGTGTTTTCTATGTTGTTTCCCTTTACGCAGTGTCCAAAAAAAGAAAGACACACACACAGAGGGGCAGGGGCCTGGCCCATTTGATGCCAGGCCATTCGGGACAAGCCGCTGCTGGCGATGAAAATGGCCCAGGGCCCCGGCCTGCCAATTTCGCTTCCTCGAGGCCTACTGTTGAGTGTTTCTCAAAAGTATTTGACGGTAGGGAAACCCAAAAGGAAACCATTTGCCCTCCCTTCCACTCACATGGCACCTGTTGGAGGGTACCTGGAAGATCATTTTCCTCTTGTAGGGACCCCCTGTCAGGTGCCATGATAATGGGAGGGAGGGTAAGGGGCTCACTATTTTCAGAATCCCCCGGCTCGTTGAATTTGAGGGCTTTCTTCTTGGACCCTTTTTCGGAGCACACATCTGGGGTGCCCTGACTAGGGGATCCCATGGATGGTAAACGTTTCATGACCTTTGCTTCCCTTTGGAAACCAAGCAGGATATCCGCACCCCTTGCCGACTGAGCGGGGATCGAGCCCCTTGTAAGTTGCTTTTTGGAGACCAACCGTTTGAATCAGGCGCCGAGTTTCCGAGTTTCCCGGTTCCCAAGACCATCTTTCATGGGACACCCCCATCAAATCAACCCTGAGGTGAAGTTAATCAACCCCCTCACTCGACCTACTGCGGATGGCCATCCTGCGCCATATGGATGGAACTCGATGAATGCTGGTTAAACCACCTACCCACTTGTGCGATATGCAGTTTGTCCATCCACTTCCCTTTGCTTAAGCATCTCATATCTTCCCTGCGTTGGTTCTAAAGGGAATCTATCACCACTGATCCATTTTCCCTGCGTTGGTTCTAGAGGGAATCTTTCACTACTGGAGAAAAACAAATGGAGGTCCACGCTATCACTCCTTCCCCTCGCCGTTTCGAGGCCGACGACGAGTTCAAGGCGGAGGAGATCGCCAAGGCGCGATGCGCCAGCCGCCAACAGCCCATCATTTGGACCGGGGAGGCCCTGGGGTTATGTGGGTTCATATCAAAACCATCATTTTGGGTTTTGGGGTTGGTGGTAGTGCGGCTTTGAAGAGAGACTTGGGAAGTGGATAAGTCTTAGCTGGGGGCCATTTCTCCAGGACAGTCCTGAGTCAGACCTCTCAAGGAACTAGTGCGGAGCAAGAAATTGGATTTCAGTGACTTGTGCGCACTTTCTGAAACTCGGCGAACTCGCGAAAGGATGCCACCTGTGGGCAACCACTGAAGCTATGGGGACACCTCATTGTAACTCATGGGAAACCATGCCAAGCAACCAAATCTTCGCAGATCTGGCATGGCATGCCGGATGAGCGACCCTGCTTCTGCTTGAGCGAGCTAAATTGAGTCCCCGTTTCCTTTGGACGGATGTGTTTTGGGAACTCAACTAGTTCAGTCCTCCCTTCTCGCAACAACTGCTGCCAGCTGGAAACTCATGCCGGCGTTATTCCACTTGGTGTGGCCAAGTCAAGGTGAACAGAGCCCACTCGCATGTCCTAAGAAACAAAGGCAACCCCTCCAATTTGCTTCCCCCAATCGCCTTTGCAGGTTTGTTGCTACTAGCAGCTGGTTGGTTCACTTGCTCAGGTTGGTTGCACTCCGTGCCCGCCAAACCGCCCCCATGCCAGTCTCAAAGTCCTTGTTACACCGTTACACCCAAACGAGTAGATCTCCTGGTTCGCATGCCAAAGTTCCCCTCATCCCCCCCCCCCCCCCACATGTAGATCTGCTGCACCCCATAGCCCTGGGATCATCTTCCGCGCAACCAGGCGCGGATTCAGCGGCAGAAGGAGAAGCCGCTGCACCGGCTGGCGCTGGCGGTGTCTGGGCTCTGCGATAGCGGGAAGAAGGAGGTGCTGGAGACGGTGATCCTGGAGAAGACCATTATCAAGCGCGAGGGAGTCGGGGGGAATCCGGGGAGTTGGGGAGTTGGGGGGCGGCGGTTGGAGATGGGAGGGGGAGGAGACGGACGCTTGGACAGCCAGCCCTAACACAATTTTCCTAAACAAACAGGCTGCAAATAGATTCCATTGGGGTGGAGGAGATCCCATATGGATCCCTCTTGCTCAGAGTGGTTGTTATTCCACAAATCCTACGGCTCTCACGCTTTGCGGAGAAAGAACCAGAAACAGTATCTCTATTTGGTGTTTCCTGGACAACATCCCACTTGGCTGGTTTCCTGATTTGGAGACAGACCCACGAAAATCCTTGCTTTCAATCCTTTAACTTGTGTTCACCAGTACAGGCCATTTCTCTACTCTGCCACAGGTTTGGGTATGTGTCAGACCTCCAGTATTGACCTATACATAAACCAATGATTGGGAGGGGCCCGCGATTTTGACATGCTTCCATGATTCAAAGGCACATGGAGCAACAATGCTGAACCTGGCTGAACTGACCCTACTATTTATGGGTGTGTCCAATTTCGCTGAAACAATGCAGTCGCCTTTTTGTGTGGTTTCGCGTTGGCTTGTCTTCAAAACCCCCCCCCCCCCCCAAAATGGGTTTCCTTTGTGCTTTCCCCTTTCACTTCTCTTTTCCACATGGGCGTGTCTTTTTTGAGGTACCGTATGTTTCGCCTCGGGTGTTTTTTTTGTTTCCATTCCGCTGGCGCGTGGGTCGCATGGAAGGCTAGGGTCTTTGCTGGCGCTGGGCTTCGGCGAAGCGGGCGCCGACATCATCGGCCCGAGGCCTAGAGGACAGCCGCGCCGGCTGGGGAACAAAACAGAAATCCCGCGTCTGGTGAAATGGCTGTGGTTGTCAAAACCGTTTTGGGATCCCATTTTGGGGTAGGTGAATTCACCACCCATTTTAGGACCTATTTTAGTGGGGATTGGGATGTTCACTGGGGCCCTGGGGGGTACGGAATGTTGACCCATGGCCAACTGGATTTTGTACATCCACCAGTGTTGGGAAGGCCGACATATTGCGGCCCCACCGAAGGGATCACTTTTGGGGGGGCGGAGGGACCCCGCGGATTGTATTCGCCAAGGAAATCTGGGGCAAGCTGCTTGAACATCACTTTTCGGTGTCAAATCGGAAAATTCTCCAGAGGGTGATTCAAAGTTTGGTAATGTTTAGCCCAGCAATTCGGGGGCGCCCCTGCCTGCGCCCTCTTTTTCGAAACGCGGTTCCGGCCTCAAAGTGCAGGGTTTTTTAGAACCCCCACCCTGCTTTTGGGAGGTAAACAGTGGAGGTCAAAATCCGGTTCGGGGTTGGACCAACAGGGTCCCCATTAGACAGGTCTAATCTGCTGAAGTGAGGTCCTCATCCCTCAACAAAGGAAGCCCAACAGTCATCCCCAATGTTTGTTTGGACAACGGAAAGCCATCCCCTAAACTGGTCCAAGGAAGGAACACCATCCCCGAACCTCGGAGTTTGGCTCAAGGGGAGCCGGGCAAACCGCCCTTTCGCCGAGGCAAAAACATGAGCGGCTCCGACTCCGCGGGCGTGAACGCCATGGTCCCGGGCCGCAAGTGCGAGCGGGGACCTCAGGTCTGCGAGGGTTGCGGTCGATGCGAAAATGCGAGCACCCCCCTACCTTGTTTTGGTGGTTCAAAGGAAAACCACAAAGAAAGCCAGACATTTGTTCAGGGGTCCCCTAAACAAGAGACACCCACATGTAGATGGGAAGGCATGAAGAACAAGTATTGCGACACAGGCATGACATCACATGGCAAAACTAAACATGACAGAGAATAGCAACACATAGCATAGCTCATACACACGCATTGTTTGACATTAGTTTTCTTTACATGACATAACATCACATCACAACACATCACATCAATTCACATCATATCACAGCATTGCGTCACGAAACACATAGGATTACACGCTATCGCATCGCGCCACGCCACATTGCATTACACCCTTTATCTATAGTCGCGCGACCCAGTATCCCCCTCTTCGAAGACGTCTCCGCATCCAAACGCACTGTAATCTGAACTTTGCTGCTGATCCTTTTGTCATTCTTTTGAGTGGGAGGAAATGCTCTCATGGTGGGCTCATCGTTTGGAAGGTGCGTGTGCTCTTGAGCTCATGCACGCATCATTTGGCAGGCGTGTGCGCAGTAGTGCCGTGCTGAGCGGGTGCTGGTGCGCTTATCTTTTGGCATAGGTGTGTGCAGTGCTGAGCGGATGCTCTTGAGCTGGCACGCTTGTCACTTGGCAGTCGTTTTTGCGCAGTGCTGGGCGGCGGGGGGGGGGGGGGGTGGGACCTAACAATACGAAACACGCGCACACACACACACAACATACACACACGCAGATACCCTGCCCGCGCTATGAACATTGCAGGCGCAATGCGTGAGCAGCCGGCAGTATTACTGGTAGGCCGTTGTTCTTTCGGGGGGCCTTCCCATATCTCCTGTTTCGTCACGCCAAAAAAGGAACGGAACCGACCGTAAGTAACATGTCAGTGGCTCACATGTTGCGGCAATTTTGGGCACGTGACGTGTGCAACCTGCTGTGCATTTCTTCGATATCGCGTCATTGGAGCAAGCGAGGTGCATCGTGGGGGTCCTGCGGGTGCGCGACTTCAGCACTGCCACGGAGGCTGGAGAGAATGAAGCCATGCAACCTAGAGGCGCAACCATGGTTTCTACTCTCGAGTTGCCTCCTGAAAGAAGCACAAGCCATCGGCGCAGCTGTCGCCATGTTGAAAGTTGTAGGTGTTGACAGCCTTGATAATTTCAGCTGGTGCCATGGAGGGCAATGGTTGCACCTGAATGGCGTCTCCCTGGTTGTTCAGTGGCACACCTTGTCCCAGATCAAATTGTTGTGGCTGGCCTCATCAGACAGTTTATGCTACGGCAATATGCTTTGCAACAGTTATCCAATGGTTTCTGAAGCCGTTGTATGCAGGATGCGAGCACCGCGTGGGTTTGTGTGTAGAGCTTGGCAAACAACGTGAGGATAGGCCGGGTCACAAGTGTCCTGCGCAGGTGCCCTGACACTTGGCGCCATGTTGGCTCAAGATTGTACTGTGACTGAAAGCAGGCTGACTGGAGCGCTCACATATGCAGACCAAGTCAGGTTTCGAGGCGGAATGAGGTCAACGCATTTGATTCCAAGGTTCGGATGTCTTGCGTTCGGTCTGGTGTACATCGGATCTTTTCGCCATGGCCACTGCAACGGTGACGGTGATTGGAGCAGAGACCATCCAGCTTTCCAAGCTCTTCGACCAAAACCCAGAGAGCGAATGCGCGAAGTTGGCCACTGCTGAGAAGATAGAAGCAGAGAAGATGGAAGCAGAGAAGATGCCAACCAGAACGTCTCTAGCTCTGATGATGTACTTTGCCGCACTAAGCTCCATCAACTTGGTGATCACCATCCCTACAGCGCATGACTATGCCGAGCGGTTAGGGGCAGGCGAATTCTTTGCAGGGCTCATGATCGCGCTGGTGCCGCTGTGCTCCATTGTTGGGTGCCTGACAAACACTGGGCTGCTGAACTTTCTGCCCATGAAGACTGTTTGGGCCATCCTTTGTCTGGGCCAAGTGCTTGGCTGCATACTCTACGCTCTGGCGGGTTTGATGCGCTTCAAGTATATGTTGCTCTGTTCCCGAGGCCTCATAGGGCTCTGTAGCGCCTACAACATCCCGGGCCTCTACATCTCTCTGACTGTGGGAGTGAAGCGCCGCAGTGAGGTGCTCTTCTACTACACCGCCATGAATACCTTGGGATGTGCGATTGGCCCGGCCTTGGCAGCCCTCCTGGAGGAATTCATGAAGTTCACTCGGATCAACAACCTAGTGCTGGACTCGGACACCATCCCCGGGTGGTTCATGGCTGTGGTGTTTCTCCTCTTCTCCGTGAAGCTGCTGATCTTCTTGGAGGAGCCGCCCAGCCTCCGACAGAGCCCTGGGGTGGCGAAGACTGCGCGGATTCCGCTGAGCTGGCAGCAGTTGGGGGCGTGCTGCGCTTGCTTTTGGCACCTTTGTGTGTGCTCTTCAGTGAACACTGGGGTGGAGGTGTATGCAATTACCGTGCTACAGCAGAGTTTAGGTTGGTCCATCTCAACCAGTGCTTTGTTCGTGGCTGGGCTCCAACTGACCTGCGGAGTTTGCAACCTTGTGCTGGGGCGGATGTTGCACCTGGTGCCCTGGAGTGACAGCAAGTGTCTGGTGGTGGCGGACATCTTGGCCTGCTTTGCCGGTGTGCTCCTCTTGCATTTTGACGTGCACGCCGTAACGGTGCAGATCTCGCTGATGGCTGCGGGTCTGCTGGCGGCGCTGATTTTGGTGAACAATGTGCGCGCTTTCGCTCTGAGCATCGCCACTAAGGTGGGCTTGTGCTTTTTTCCCCGAAGGCTGAACACTACAAAGCGTTCTTACTAAAGCGGGGCAGGCTGTTTGCCAGTTCGGGCCAGGTTGGTGCTGCATGTGCTGCTCAGGGTGCTGTTTGGTGTGCTCAAGGCGGTGTGGTGGTTGCTGGGAGTGCCTGTTATGGGATGCAGTCCGGGTGCTGTTGTGAGGGTGCTGCTGTAATATTCCATGCCTCAGGGTACCAAGGGGTTGGTTCAAAGGGAACACAAAAAGGAGAACAACCACCAAGGTCTGCTATGTTCCCTTTTGTGTACCCCTAAGGTTAGTTAATGTGATTAGCCATGGTTTATTTCATCACCAGGGAAGTCGCGGTAGTGACTGACCTGTGGTGTTTGGCTCAAGTTTTGGGTTCCGTCGCGCCTCGAATGGGCGTCGCCGAACCCCTGCGTCGACCGACGGCATCTCGGGGAGAAAGAGACCTCGGGCCGCCGCCAGGTTGGTAGGGACCAGTCGTGCGGCCTGTTGTCGACCAAGGTTGCGGGTTAACCCTTTTCTTTGTTTCCTTTTGGTTGTTGTTCTCTGGTGTGTGGGAAACCCTGATCTTTGGGACCGGGGATTGGTTTGCTTTTGGGGAACCTTTCTTTTGTGGCTTGTTTACCCCAACTTACCCATTGCCTGGGCACAGGCTCGTGCCCGAATCACAGGTTATCAGCCGTAGGACTTTCCTACGCGCTTGAGACCATCAACTACAAGCTCTATGTCGACCCCACGATCTCGCAGGAGCGTCGTGGATGAGGAGGCCATCCTAGGTGGCCTCCGCTCAGGTGAGGACCTGCCGGACTATGACTACGAGGATTTCGAAGCAGGTTCGACAGGTCAGGACCGCAGGGGTGAAGATCCCGGTAGGGATACACCCAGGGGCCGTGGCAGGTACGCCGACGATGGAGACGATCGTATTTTCCGCCAGGCCACTGATGACGAGCAGACACGAAGGGTTTACTCCGGTAGGAGTGGCTCTGAATCAGGTCAGAGGCGTGGACATTTTGACTTCACCAGCATGGCGATGGACATGGCCCGCCCCCATTCGGATGACCCGGAAGCCATGCCGATTCGACCTCCGAGATCTCTTGTTCCAGGTGAGTCGGAGGTCTCGGATGAGTTTGGGAGTAGGCCGCAGGGACCAGGGACTATGGTTCTGGTTCCGGGAGGTATCCCGGGCCGATCCACTGGTTCTCAGAATCCAGGTCAGTTTGATGAGCACGAGGAGCGGAAATTCACAGACTTCGGATACGATGCTCTGTTGAGATCAACCGCAGGTTGGGGCAGTAGCTCAAAGCAGGGGTCTGATGCCGGTAGGCCCAACCCTAATACTGCCAAATCTGAGTCTTATGATGGCGAAGATTACAATTTTGCGGATGAGGAGGAGAGCCATTCGCGCCGAGATGCAGGCAGCCGTGAAACCGCAAGGACTAATCCCGCCGCTGCCAAGTTTGAGGTCGATGATGATGAAGAGTATGCCGCGTTTGCGGATCGCCGTGATGAGGAGGAGGACCAACCACGACGAAATGCTAGGATCCGTGATGCTGCGAGGCCCAGGAGCCTCTCTCGTGGAGCCGTCAGGGACCTTCGTGTTGACAGGGGCGCCAGAAGCGAGAGAGAGAGAGCCAGGGATAGTCGGGAAGTTCTTCGGGGATTGGAGGCCATTCATGACCGCGAGGGACCGGTAGGTCCCCCGGCAATTGGTGATTCCCCGAATGTTCCCCCCTTTCCCAACATCACATTTGGAGGTCCGTTGAGTCAGGGAGACGTGAACTCGAACCGGGTTACTGGTTCACCGAGGATCACTGAGCGGGCTGCCGATGTTGTTAGGACAGGTGCCAGAGATGGTCGGCTTGCCGATGCACTCGGGATCGAAGATCGTCCGTCGATCGCTAGCCCGTTAGGGCGAGATACCAGTGATCTTGAAACTCTGAGGTCTAGCAACGAGTTCACACCTCAATGGGGTTCGACTGCCAGGGAACGTAGTGTTTCTGCTAAGAGACCGTCACCTCTCGCCGCTGAGACCGATAGGTCAAAGGCGAGGAGGGCTAGCCCCTCACCAATGGATTCAACTCCGCAGGATGAGGAGATGCCCGATCCCGCTGATGTTCACATCCACTCCACCCCCGAGTCACGTGCATCCAACATTGATCCTCGATCTGGCGATAGCCGGAGAAGGGGATCTACCCCGAGTAGACCATCCAGGATTGATGATTGTCCCGTGGATGACCCCAGAAGACATGCCGGGACTAGTGGGGCTCCTGAGAGGATCGAGATATCGACTCCTCCCGCCCTCAGGTCCCAGTCTTCCGGCGAATCAGGTGACGCTAGGGCGAAGGAGGTGTTCGATTTGCACATCCAGGAGGTGCTCGAGAGAGGTGAGGTTTCTGGCTCAGTCGCGAAGGCGTTCCACATCTTTGCTGACCAAATCAGGGTACTGAACGGTCAGGTGAGTTCCATGCGAAGGGAATGGAGCGACGAGAGTCAACGGACGAAGGACAAGGTCGATCGCCTGGCAGCTGAGGTTGCGACTCAATCTGATGCCGGGAGGATGCGAATGATAGTTCAACGGTTCGCAAGGGAAGTTATTCCCGATAGCAAGGCCATTGTGAGGCAAGCCATCGATGAGCAAGCCGAGGTCGTGGAGCAGAGGATTAACCTACTGTCCCACGAGGTCCATGAATCTGTCAGGGACAATGAGGCATCGACTGATCGGCTTCGCCTGATGATTCAGGAAAATAGTGAGGCTGCCCGCAGAAGCCATGCTGCTTCTGAGGACGAGACCCTTAAGGATTTGGACAAGCTTGAGAAACGGATGTTCTCGGTAGAGAAAACCGTTGGGATGCGGACACCGGCAGGTGTATGGAACCCGAATCCTGTCGCGAATCTGTCCGATAGGGCCAGCAGCAGTGTGGTTGACGCGAATTTCAGGGAGTTAAACCTGAAGATTGAGGAAGCTCTCCTTGAACACGAGAAGTTTGCTAAGTGGGCCTCTGAATCTATTGAAGGGGTCAAAGAAGAGCACACTCGTCTTGTTAATCGAGTGTCTAGACTGCAGAGTGGAAGGGGTTCTCAGGAGGTCGATAGACCATCAGGGCATGATTCCCCGCAGGACTGGCATGAGGCTGTTGACGAGATCAATCGGAAGATGCAGGATCTGGCTCGAGGAATTCAACGTCAACGTCGGGATCATGACGACATCATTTCGAGGTTTGAAACCGTGAAGTCACATGTTGAACAGTATGAAGCGAGATCGGCAATTGTGAATCGGGTCGTTGATGGCATCCAAGGACAGATCCGTAATCTTCCTGCCAGGAGTGACCAAGTGCAGCCTGCCGTTAGGCGAGAGCTCGGCACATTCCGGAGTACACTTGAAGGTGTTATGCGGAGAGTCAGCGCTATCGATGGTAACGTGCGTAACCTTAGCGCCGCGAACAACAGAATCATGTCCCAGCTCTTTGAAATGGAGGGTCAATTTGACGAGGCTGCTGGCATCATTCAGGGTGTCCAGCAGATTAATGAAGCTCCTCCACAACCCAGAGAAAGACGGAATGTTGGTTACCATGCGTTTGCGGGGCAAGGACATAGGATCTGGTCACCGACGCCTACACCAGGGGAAGGTGACGGCCGGGGTACTGGCCTGCCGGTGAGACCAGGCGGAGGCGTTGTTTTGCCTGATCATGCTTTGCCGAATGTGCCCGATAGGGTCGATCCTTCTCGCGCAGACAGGCATCCTATCTATCCCGTTAGGGAGAGGTCCGACAGCAGGAGCAGGAGGGTTCGGGGGTTGCCTGACAGGTCGCATTCGCCACCGGAGCGTGCAAGGGGTGGTCCCCGCGCGCGCGCAAGGGGGGACGTTTCTATTTCCCCCAATAGGGATGCGGGTAGGAATAGGAGCCCGAGGCCTGCTGCCGTCCCCGATAGGGGATCTGAGGCCCGGAGTCGACAACCGAGGGGGGAGAGGCCGATCCGCGATAGCGGGAGCGTCTCTCCGAATTTTGATAGGCCAATCCGCGATAGCGGGAACGTCTCTCCGAACCCAGGTCGTCATTCAGGAGGTGGTGGGGATAATAGGGTCCATGCCGACATCCAGAGTCCTGGTGATGAGTGGAGGACTCCTGGGAGCAGAGTCAGCGCCGACACCCAGAGTCCCGGCGATAGGCGAGGGACTGCTGGAGCTCCTTCGGATCGTGGACAGGCCTCAGTGCCGGCTGCAAGAGGGGCTCCCGGCGGTGATGGCCCAGACGCGCCGAAGATTTGTGCCCTCGATGATCCCAACGACCGTAGGCACCCGAATGCTGAATTCTCGTGTGTGACATGCAGTCGTGAGTTCTGCGGGCTTTGCCGTGGTGACGACGGGGACTGTTGCAATTGTCACTTCTTGAAAATGAAATGCTGGGCATGCCGCAAGAATGCTCAGGAGGTCTCCATGTATCTCTGTACGGATTGTGGGACTCACGTCTGTGAGAGTCACAGTTACTTCGGAAATGACGGCCTTGAGCGATGTGCACGCTGCAATATTCGGCATGAACGCGCTCAAGCTGGACCGCCCCCTCCTCCTCCTCCCGGGGGAGGTGGTGGGCAAGGCGGACCACCTGGTCAAGGTGGGAGCGGAAGTGGTGGTCATGGACATGCCCCGGCTCCACCACCAGGTCCTGGGCATTATGGTGGGGGCCAAGATCCCGCTGGGCCTTCTGGAGGCCCGAGTGGAGGGGCTCCTACCGGGGGTTACCCTGGTGGAGCGCCCGGGTTCCACGGTAGTGCTGCGGATACTCATGGAATTGGGAACAATCAGTGTGGTTCCAGTTTCTATGGTCCTGCCTACGGAGGTGGCGTTAGTCACCAAGGGGTTGGCGCTGGCGTTAGTCAGTCTAGCAATGCCACAGGTTACCCCTCAAGTGTTGCGAGCGGTGGTAACCTTGGGCCGGGTCTTAGCCTCGGCTATAGTGTGAATGGTGCCGGTAGGCAGGGAGATGGTG